AGGGATATTCTACCTAAATTCATCCTGTTATTTAGAAACAGTACATGCCATGAAAAAGTTGGAGACTGTGCAAAAGTGAATATGGAGGATCTGCATTAGTGTTTCTGTGTTTGTCTCCTGAAGGCTGTCTTTGTACTTACCCTAAAGCTCAGCTAACACAGGAAGAATGAATTTGCGGGTGGGTGCAACCAGTTGTAGTGTTTTGAATTGAAAAAATGCAACTTTCAAACATGCCAAAATGGGACCATTCCACAAGTTCACCATGTCTTTACAAAGGTTTCGATTTGGTAGATGAGTCTATACTGGCCTCACCCCCTAAAACATTTTGGTTTTGACAAATCAGCGTTTCCCACTAAGAAAATACTTCGTTGGAAAATCCCTGCCCCAGTCTTCATGATTTTACATATAAAAATGCTGTAGGGAAGACTTTGTTTTTCAGGCAGAGACCTGCCTCTCAAGTGCTGAATGCTGAATTCGCAATTAAATAGTAGCACAGCTCTTTTTATAGCCTCTTCTCTATCAATCTGTGCTCTAAATTGCCAGTGAAGTATACAAGCCCCCTTCCTTTCATGTCTTGCCATTTCTCACTTTGATATTCCCCAGGAGCGCTGAATGCCGATGATTAGATAATGGAGGTTTTTGTTTTGGTTTTTATTTTTGCTGAAGAGGATATAAGACCTCTTTTGAAATGAGCTATTAACTTAATAGAATGTCTTGGGAATATGCAGCACCAAAGCTGACGGTTTAATCTTTGTCCGGGTATCTGTATGGTATACAAAGACGAGGGGCTGTACTAACAAGTCTTTATGTTTTGTAGTGGGATGCAGTCAAACACAAAGCGGCAGCATTAGTTACCAGATTTTTCTGTAACCGTTTCCTGCAATATGCTTCGCATTTAGTATTAGGAGTTGAAAGCAAGGATGCTATAAAACCCTATGCTTTCCATACCTTGGTGCAGTGGAATTTCACAAAGGTGCTGTTGATCATGCAGAGATATTCTTTGTATGCATCTCCATCAGACTATGTGTGTGTGTTTGACTGTTTGCACCTATCTCATCTTTCCCTTGTATGTAGTTGTCTACACTGCTCATACACACACCCCTCTCTGCACTTAGCTACTCCCATTCATTCCCTAAGGTCATGATCCATAGTAGTTTAGCACATTGCACTGGTTGTGTTAATTGCCTACCACACTCGCAGACTGTGGAGGGGTTCTGGCTGGCAACTCAAAGTGTATGTAAGGCTGCTTGAATTTTTGACTTTCTCTCCCCACCCTTTTCATCTTTCTTCTTTTGCATTGCAGCACAGTATTTAAGCCCATGCAACTTATACAGATAGAAAATCCAAAGCTGAAGCTTGGATCAAAATAAGGTGCAGATGTTTAACAATGAGGTTAATTAATCCATCAAACAACTTGGGAACACAGGGATTGAACAAGACCACCCTAGTCACTGAGCCCAGTGTAGCATAATTGAACACAACCAGATAAGAGATGTTTGTTCCAAGGGGGCCCACAGAAACATCCATTTTGGCTCTCCTCACACCGACAGCCCATAGGGCATGTTGTTACAAAGATCCTTGGCAGATATTAAAATAATGGAGTGATCAGGAGCTGAGGAATTTTATGCCCCATCCCCAGTATTGTATGTCCTGCCATGCCAGATGGGTAAAGCAGGACCCATGAGGTTGGGGAGGGAGCATAAAATTCCTCAGATCCTAACTGTATGACTGCTGGGACTGAACAGGAACTCCATGGTTGCCCCCAACCTGATCAAGCAGGGAACAGCTGAATCTCAGGCCCTGGATACCTTGGGATCAGATATGGGGATATCCCCAGGCTGATGCAGGCAGTCAGCTAATTGTTGGCATCACCCCAAGACAGCCCTGGGTCTGGGTCACATGCCACAGATTCAATTCAAGGTGTCCTACAAATGAGCTACAAAGGTGTTCCACATTATATATGTCCCTTTGCATGTGGAACACCTTTGTGGCTGGTTTTCCATTTCATGGCACCATAAATTGGTTCAACGTGTGTCATGGCATCATTAACCTGTGATGCTATAAATAATAATGTCTGCCAGGGCCCAAACTAGGACCTTTGGAGGAAAAAAAATCTCAGGTTCCCTAGGGATAGATTGGACTTTTCTTCACATCAAATCAAAACTGAGTATCTTTTCCAGAAGAGAGAGAACTCATCCAGAACCCATATGGTCAGTGCAGGAATCATTGGGTAAACTGCTCTTGTCTACAATATACAGGAGGCAGGCTGAGGTGGTAAAGCTGTGTACCTATCAGCTGCCAAAAGCCTGGTATATTCAGAGTAACGCATATATGTTTACATTCAAGCCTGCCTTTCCTTTCAGCTAGCAGTCAGAAGACACTAGTACAGATATTGCTCTGGTAACATCTGTGGCCATCTAAGGAGAACGGTCAACCTGTTTCGGCTCTGCATCCTTGTTCATAGAGCACCCATGCGGCATAGTAAGGGTCTATTCATAAACAGCTGATAAAGGATTAATAAATGTGTTAATAAATGGCTAATCAATGGTTATAGAGTTCAACATAGGACCATTGATGGACTGTTGATAGGTCCATTATAACTGGCTCATATGTATATCTGAAACCTACCGGTGCAGTTTTGCCGGTGTAGTTTTACAAAGGTGGGGGATATTCAAGTTGGAGTATCTGTCAAGTTATATCAGTTGTCGGGCTGTTGGTGTGTACTGGCTCCATGGTGACAGTGGTGCGAAGACAAGACACGCTGATGTAAACGTGCCATGTGCTGGAGTTCTGCATTTGGCTTCCTCGGTAGCCTCTTGCAAGTCATATAACTTATGTACGCCTCAGTGTACCCATCTGTAGAGCACGGATGCTACCTTTACCTCATGTCACAAGTATTAACTGTTGTTTTGTGCAAAGACTTCAGAAAAAGTGCTAATTTGTAACACTAATTAGTAAGAAGAACAGCAATCTTTGGGCTTTCTACTATTTCCCAGAAGCCCAACTTGGTAGGGGCAGCACAGATGTTCTGAAAACTCTTGGATGCTCCGTTTTTACACGGGTTTCCTTGATGCTGATGACAAATGCGTCACCTGCTGAATCAGGCTTTCCTTTCTCATAAAGAGTCTTTTACTTTCAGTGGTGCAAAATCCTCTTTCCAGAGGAAAATGAGATAAAGCAGACTGCAGATACTGCTGGGATCACCAGTTTATTTCAGCCCTTCCTACATCACTCTCGATGTCAGGGTTTCTCTCTTCCACACCTTCTGCTCGCTGGGTCTGTTTTATAGAGATATATCAACATGTGTGTACACAGTGCACGTGCACACGCACACTCTTACATTACATGGTGGAAGAGCCATAAGGTTAAAGTGTGTTGATTCAAACTGTTTAATGAGGTGCAATAAATCTTGACAAGACCAGCTGGCACTGGAGTCGAGCTTCTCATCTTTTTACCATTACGTTGAAACGTGAACAATAGTGGAAAGAAATGTAGCCCTTATTTTTTTTTTCTATTCTCCGCTATGCAAATATATAACATTCTATTGAAATCATCCACTTATATGGGATGTTGAGCAGGGTGGATGGTATGGAAAATGTGAATGCTGTAAAGGCCTCCCTTTCTTGTTCTTTTTCTCAAATTCTGCAAGCGTTATTGATATGACAGGTCACGCAAGCATGGTCAGCATTAATATCCCTATAACGTACATCCATCGAACAGAGCAGTCGCGTGCTAATGGTATCCAGAACGTGCTTCGAGCCTGGTGGCAAGATGCACTCCATCTCGAGCCCTTTTTCTGTGCTTTCTCTCTTGTCTTCTCAGTTCCCTTTTCTCTAACGTACCAGATTCGAGCTGCTTCTCTGCACCATCAAAGCCCTCGAACATCACCTCTGCCTGCATCTCTGCTGTTTTGTATCTTTTCTCTTGGCCTCATCAGCCATAAATAACCCCCTGTCCGTTTCTTTCCCAAGTACCTTCAGGCTGTATAGGTCTAAGGACATAGGCAGACAAGGTTCTTTGGGTAAATGTGATCGCTTTTATTAGACCAACTATATAGTTGGAAAAATTGTTCCGTGCAAGCTTTCCAGGTACAAAACACCCTTCTTCAGGCACAAGGAGAATGTAGACAACTTTTATTAGACAACTAGTCTACGCTCTCCCTCTGCCCGAAGAAGGGTGTTTGTACCCAAAAGATTGCACAGAACAATTTTCCAATTATATAGTTGGTCTAATAAAAGATGTCACATTTACCCAAAGAACCTTATCTGCCTTCAGGCTGTATGGCATTCATCCCTCAAATACATGCTTTTTCAGCTTCCTCCATGTCTATCGTGGGAAATTCTCTACTTGTGATGGCTAGATGGAGGCTTAGCAGGAACTTTTTATCTGTACTATATTTTATTTATTTGCAGTCGCTTAGAAAACCTCTGACCGTAGTTTCTGGTGCATAGGAAAAAAGAGGTGTCAAATGAAGATGCAAAGTTACCTAATGGAAAATAATTGAAATAATTGCAATAAACATTTTGATAAAAAATTAATTAGATGTATGCTAAACATTTCCTTCCCCGCAATTTTATCTGGGGGGGGGAGGGGGGGGGGGGGGGGGGGGGGGGGGGGGGGGGGGGGGGGGGGGGGGGGGGGGGGGGGGGGAGTGTGTATTTTATACACTGTAAAATATGGTAAGCGACTCAGTAATCCAAGTGTGCTTGTAGCACAGTGCCAGTCTTGTGCTTCCTCGTACACTGATCTTCCAGTGAACCTGCTTTATTCCAATTAAAAGAAATCGGTTTAATCAGTGCCTTTTTTTTCTGGTAGCCACATCCATTGCTCCCACATATGTTACTAGCCCCACTGTTTAATGCCAGCTTCTTAAAAATAATTGCTTATTCCAAACACAACCATATGGCTCTGGATCCACATGAGAGAGGTGGACCGAGTGTTAGCAGAATATCCCATGATGACAGAAGTAGTAACTGTCCCTTGTTGCTTTGCAATTGCAGCATTTGATGTGTGCTGGGCTCTGGTGTCTGGTGGAAGGAGATACATCTTGTAAAACCAAGCTGGACCCACCTCTGGATGGCACCGAATGTGGCGCAGACAAGGTAAGCAGAGGGTCCTGCAGCAACTGCTTTGGCTTTTGTAACCATGGCTATGGGATAATGTTGCCGAGATGTCCAGTGTTTACTGGAAGCCTTGCATTTCATCCTGATAAGATTAAGCAAGCTGTTCAGTTAACAGCTGGGTCAGATGAGAATATTTTCCTTGTCTGTTGTTTCCACTGCGGTAGGCTCTGGAAAAACCCAAGAGAAAACAAGGCCCTATTGCGCTCAGCTCTGTACAAACCAAAAGAAAAGAAAAGACTGTCCTAGTCCCAAAGAGCTTACAATGTAGAAGGCACCTACTAGGCATGGCAGAGAGTTTTCTGCCTCAGTGCCCTCCATTCATTTCAGCAGGACAGGCTAGCACGGTATGCACATGAGCTAGGGCAGCAAAGAGTCTGAGACGTCGGGGAGCAGCTGTATGCAGAGAGACCGTTTGGAAGACCAGAAGGACAAAAGCCAAGAGTGATTCTGGATTTGTCCAGGGGAGCTCTGAATACCTATTCAGTTGGTATTTTCCTTTCCTTTCAGACCCCTTTCCTAGTTTTTTTCTAGAATTGCCATGCTCCATGGGCTTAGCCAAACAGCTGGGACATATTCAAACTTCCCAAAAATCAGTGCGGTGGCAGAAATGACTAACAAAAAAGAAAACTCCTTTTTTCAGCCAAGCCCCTCTGTGTGTCAGGTGCTCCCCAAATAACTGTCATCCAGGATGGAGCATTTTGCAGCATTTAGATGTTACAGGTCACAGTGTGTCACCTACTGAGGGAGAGTCATTTTGTTACTATCATCAAGGAAAGCATATATGTTAACTAAAAAATTAAGCATATTTAAAAAAATGAATGATGAATTCATTGATGCTGACTCATTAGCACAGTAGGCTGCTTTGCTGCGGTCACTGGGCAAACCTTACTGTACTGTATTCCAGCTAAAGCAAGGCAGCCGACCCTTGCAGCTTGTCTAAAGGCCTTGTTAGACAGTCATTTTGGGCAGCTCCTGGAGCTCTTAACCCCTAGCGGGTCTGCACATTAACACCTTAAAGTGGCTTTAAGCACCCATTTTGCACCTTAAAGTTACACCACACCGGGGCAGGGCTATCTATGATCTGCACTACCCAGCTCCTGTTCCATTAAGGTGCAGCCATCCCCCACAGATGTGCTGCCCAAGTTGAAGTCCTTCAGGATCCCAGGATCTCTCACAGCCCTGCCCATAGAGCAGGGATAGAAACCTGTCCTGGCTCACAGCTGCAGCTCCTAGTCCTGCCCCTGCTCACCAGGCCTCCAGCAGCAAGTCAGAGCTGTGCAGGTGAGGGACAGTCAGAAGGTTTCTAGACTAAGCGTATGACTGCTCTGAACTCGAGCTAGCGCTAACACCGATCAATATTTGTGCGGCCCAGCATAAGGTGCAACAAGGCCCTAACCCACCTCAGTGCAGACCCTGCAACTGCGGATGCCATCCCTTCCCTCCTTCCCCCCATGCACTTCTGCTCAGCATACCCAGCGTCAACAGGCAAATGGGTGTGCCCGGCTTCGAACAGCGCACAATCCTGTGCCAAGCTCAGGCTCTATCCCCAGTGTGCTGCTAGGCACATGCCCGAGACCCCTTCATGGCAGCTTCAGTGGCTCATCCTTGGGCTTTGCACAAGGAGCAGAAGTGGCAGGTGGATCGTGCTTTATGGGGATGGTCCCAGGTGTGGCACAGCATAAGCTGGGTGCAACTCCTAATGGAGTCAGTGTGGGTGTATGGGAACAAACCCCGAGTGTCCAGAAATGTATGCACAGAGCACTCCCTAGCGTTGGTGACGGTGTTGCGTTGGGGTATGATTTCTTGAACCCACTTTCTTCAGAGAGGGTTAATGGAAGTCCTAGCACTTGTCTGACCTAGACAGTTTTCTGTATTATGGTGCAAGTTCCAGCAGGAGGTTCAGTCATGTTACCGGTGTTACTAAAGACAAATATCCCTTTGGTTTAAACAGGCTGAGGAAGAAGCTTGCATTTCCATATTTCGCCTCTTTTTTTTTTCTCCCCTCCTGCCGTAAGCCCTGAATCTCCAAACACTTGCACATGCATTTAATTCCACCCTTGCCAGCCTTCCCGCTAACGTCGCAGGAAGGTGTCCACTGGACCATGCTGTGCTAACACCGTTGCATTTCAGTGGTGCCGAGCTGGGGAATGCGTTAGCAAGACTCCCATTCCCGAGCATGTGGACGGAGACTGGAGTGTGTGGAGCCAATGGAGCATGTGCAGCAGGACGTGTGGCACCGGCGTCCGGTTCAGACAGCGCAAGTGTGACAATCCCCCGTAAGTCTTCTCCTCTTGGTGGCTTGTAAATGTACAGCCTTGCTCCAGTGGAGCAGAAAGGGACTAGGGATGGAGTGGGCCTGAATAATGTGAGCTAAGCAATGAAGGCATGCAGAGTCACTATCTCAGTGATAACTGGTGGCACGGATAAAACACAAGTCATATGTGAAGGACCAAACACATTTGCGGAGAATTTTTGGAAGGACACGATACATAGTTGAAATGGCCTTTATTAACAACAAGCTGCAAGGACATGCCCATGTGGTACATGGGCACATAGCTGCCCTGTTTGGATTTTTTTGATCAGGAAAGACATGTCATTACTCACTCATTTCCCTACATGCTGCTGAACAGTGACTGCATTTCTGTAATGTCCAGGCCTGATTTTAACCAGCTCTGTTCTCCTCCACGAGGGACCAAGATGGCTTATCTTTTATCAGTTACAGCTGCTTGAAACTCCCCTTAGCCACACTGCTGACCAAACCTTAAATCCATCTATTCATCATCCTCTTCCTTAAATTGCAGGAATTGCTGCCTCCAAGATTGCACATGGATTTGAAAATTCTTTTGCTCGGTTACTTTCTTGGCTGGGGATCCACACGTGATCTTCCTTCGCTTTATATTCCTGGCTATCTCCCATGTTCCTCTGCAGCTGGTTTATTCAGTGTCCAAAAATATTGGCCAGGGAATTTATTTATTATTTTTTTCACATATATTTGGTCTTGGGCTTTTTTTTTTTCTTGCTGGAATTTTTGTTGTTGCCAGATGACTCTTGAGCCTGTTGGGACTATCAGTATTTTGAAAGCAGTTGCTTGACTTACTTGATTTAGCTTTGCCTCCTGTAATTTGTGAGACTGCTTGCATGGATGCCCTGGGATGGATCGCAAGGGAGAGTGATGCTACCCAGTTTGCATACTCTAATTTTAGAGCCATGCTGCCTTCTTTTTTTACTCACTGGTATAAGTTCATTTGAAGTTCATAAATCAAGCCCTTTCTTATTTCTTCATCACAACTCTCATTCATTCAAACTTACAAATCAATTCACAGCAGCTTCTCAATTGCTGCCCTCAATTCATTCAATGTTCATAA